TTTTGAAGCTTCTACTGACAGTCCAGAGACAAAGAAATGCTGCCTTTCCACTGGTGTTACCAACAGTAAAAAAAACATCGAAATGTATTCTGTGGTTTGTGGAGTTTTTCCTCTTGCCCGTTGTTTAAAAGAAGATATGCTGCCTGCTGATTAAACAACAGATTCAACCAAAGCTGTGTGAATCAAAGTCTTCGTTTCACATCGCTGCAGGAGCCAGCTCAAAACTTGTGTTCAGTCATCGCAGAGAAACTGACGGACCACAGTAAATCTGTGGATTCTGATTTGGGACATTAAAGTTTAAGAAGTTGTTTTAAATCATTCAAAATCACATTATGGCTTTACCAGGTTACTTTTTTATATTGAATCGTCATTTTGAGAATGTACAAATTTAGTTTTATTAGAAACCATATGTTTTGAAACATTTTTACTGTTTTACTCCACACTTATAAAACGCAGCATCGTCAGGAAAAAGGGTAAAATGGTAAAATCAGTTAACCACTTTTACTGTCATTTGTGATCGTTTTTGGCTTTTTTTCTTATAGTGTCACCATTATCATGGATTTTCTTTTTAGAGCATCAAGAAAAATCACCAAAACCAAATTTATTTTAACTGTATAAATGACTCTAATTTTCTTCTCAGTTTTGTATCATCATACACTATTTTGTGGTGCATTTACTTCATCCGAAGATCAGACCGGTTGGCCTGGATTTAAATTGTATCATCTTTAAGCATTTGAAAACTCTTTTTAAACCTATAAAGAAATGATTTTTGAATTAGATAATGATCTGAGTATGAGTGTATTAAAGCCCCCAGTCTTTTCCARTGCAGCTGTTTTAAAACTTGATCAACTGAAATCTCACTTTTCTAGCTTTACAGCACTGGAAAAAGTCTTTATAGACGTAAAACCCACAATCCTTTGCAGCTGGAGAAACAGGGCAGTTTTCCAGCATGCTAAAAGTACATGCAAATGTGGGCCTCTCCCTTTAAGACGTCTCGATCTGCAGCTCATAAATGGACATCAGTGGGACAGAGTGGAACAGCGGCAGCTAGTTTGGGAGACTGCCTGGTACAGGGCCAGCTGGTTCAGGTCCTCTGGGAGAGATTGCTCTGCGGGAAAACTGATTTTTTACAATGAAAAGGAAAGGGATTTACAAGTCCTGACCTGTTCTTGCAACCTCCCCCATCTTCCTCAAGTCCTTGCTGCCTGTACCAGAACGCCTAATCAAATCAGAGCCACATGGTTGGAGACATAGTCGGCTAAGAAAGATGCAGATAAAAGGCTTTGAAGCATTCTTGCTCTGAAGCATATGATCCATGTGTGAGTCCGTGTTGGAGCTTTTCCACCTTTCTTCTGTGGYGTCTTGTTTGTAAAGTATCAGTACACTGGATTGTGTTGATCGTGAGCTTAAATTAATTATTTGAGATACTGTGATTTCTTTCCAACCCTTCATCTAACAACTATATACATCACAGACGGTGGAGTGCCTTAAACCTCTTTATCTCCGAAAGCCTGTCTCGAGATTTTTTTCTTTTTATACTTTAAAGCTTTTGACRGAGCCTGYTCTTCTGCCAGCCAGCCACAATGGTCTCTTCTTTAGTTTGCTTAATGAAGATGCCCATCATGTTCATAGCAGTGCTTATTAAAAGAGGCCAAACTRTAGAAGTCAAGGAGATCTTCAAAGAGAACGTGGAAAAGCCCACTAAAAGAGTGTAATATAATAAGATTATAGGCATACATTAATTGGATGGATGAAACGTGAGGTAGTAGAGGCATGTCCCATTAAATTGGCTTGGATTTAATGAGCAGAAAAARCCCTATAAACTCCACATTTAATTGATTAGGGAAGTGACTAGGTGTTCAAATATGAGTAAAACATCTATTAGAGATGCTGAGCAAAACAGAGTCTTTGTGTTATTTATTTATTTATTTATTTATTTATTTATTTTTGGGGGGGAAGGCCAGAGCATCATTCTGGAATAAATTCTAAAAGACTGTTTTTTCCCTATCAGATCCAAGGCCGAGCAATAATGTGGGGTCTGAAACCTAATTCTCTGACAACAGCTGGGACCACCTATCCCTCACAATTAAGCAACACGATACTGTCCTCATGCCCATCTAAATTCATTATTTAATTTGATTGCTACCCTTGTTATTCCTGGGCTTTTTAGAAGTTTTGGTATAATAGAGTTGAAAAAATATAAACACAATCTGTTCACAATTAAAACGGTCTAAAATGTACTCACGCACGGGCAAAGTTAATGTTCGTCATACTGATGGTTTTCAAGCTTTGTTTTGGACAAAGGATACATTCCTGTGAGTAAAATATGAGCTGTGATTAACACTAGCACTCCTCTGTCCACACGCTCATTTTTYGCGGTGTATGGAGAAATCGTAAAATGCCCCAGTATTTTCCTTTCCTAGTCATCCATCTAATTTAGTTATAAAAACTTACAAACTCTGTCCTTGTCACTGTAACTGTTTCATTAATTTTAAATACAAAAAAGAGCATGCAAGGGGAAAAGCAATGAATAAAATCTGCAACGAAAGTGCGCATCTCCTACTTTGAAGAAAGTGATCTTACTTGATATACAGTAGATTTGGCTGGCTTTGTGTAAACAACAAGATTTTTTTTTTCTAACCCTTGTTTTTAATTTCTAATTACATTTAATGGCATGCCGTCCCACATGATTTGGAAATAATTATTGGATCAACACAGAAAATGGTTCAAAACGACTGCAACATGTCTTTAGTGGCATAATTCAATGACTCGTGTTTACACAATGGAAACCGAGTATTTACTTTACCCTTGAAATTATAGATTAAGTTGTGGAAGAAGAAAAAAATGTTACACTTGAAGATTGGAAGTGCACTGGAGACTTGTGGAAATGGAGTACATAAATTAGACGGACAAAAATGGTTTTCATATGTGGATCAGTGCTGTAGGCCTGGCTGTGGCGAAACGTTGACTTGGCATTCCACAGTCAATTGTCAGCTTAGCTTGAAACACATATACTGTATTGACTTGCAATACACAGCACAGCTGGATTTGTATTACAAACTTCATATTTTCACTTCGAGCCTAATGTTTCAACACATCAAGCTTATCAATGCAGTATTTACTTCAAACAGTCATGCCCTCATTTAATTTAATCTCAGTTTGTTTTCAATCGCGTCAGCCCTTATTGTTTTTTTGAAGGCAGACGCGGCGACTGCCACTCTAGCTGCCTGGAAGTTGTCCTTTAACAAAAGGAAACCACAGTGTTCTCCTCCAACAGCGTTTTTATGTTGGCATGTGTCCATCCTCTGTGCAGGAATACATGAGCTGCCTTTGTTTCTCTGGTCCTGTATCAGGTTACTAGGCATGGCTGCTCGGTGTGTTTAATGGAAATGCTATGCAGGAAAAAGGCCATGTGGCAGTCTTGAATATATGTGCATCCGTAACGGGATACTCGTGAGCTCCCATTGGAGTAACTGTTTGCCTTATTAGGCTGTCGTCTTGTGATGGCAAACAAACCGGAGTGCACTTTGAGATGGAGGAGATTCCTAAAGCTGGTGTCCTGACTGAAWACTGCAAACATTATTGTACTCCTGTCTCCAGGATAGCGATGTGATGCATGAGAGTGAATACAGGCCATCATAGTGAGAGTGCTTTGTTGACATGGTACCTAACACTTCAATTTGTTATCTTCCAGCAGCTGCATGTAACAACAYGAAATCACTTTCAATCCACTTTTTATGTGAGATATAATTTATTGTGTTAGACRGCTCTTTTTTCTKGACATGCAAGGTTTTCCTTATTATGGGAAACATTACTAAAACAGGCTATGTCACCTGGGGTAACATATGACTGTATTTTCTTCTCAGCACTACAGTTGTAGAGAAAATTGTCCACATGATGCTTTAATAAAGGCAGTTTCTCATAAAGATTGTAGATACTAAAGATTCATATGTTGAAAAACCACACACATACAACCTTATAACCTTATATTACGGGGGCGTGGTAGTTGTAGTTTTCCAGTCAATAGGTTTTCAACAGAGAACGCGTGCTGAGGGAGAGGTTTCTGACTTTATTGCTTGGACTCAGGGGAGCCACTGTGTTGCTGGCTGAGGGTGGTGTGTGTGTGTGTGTGTGTGTGTGTGTGTGTGTGTGTGTGTGTGTGTGTGTGT